GAAAAAAAAAAAATTTGTTTTGAAAAAAAAAAACAGAATTTCTATTGTTAAATACTTGATGTGTATTGTATTTGATCTGGCTAATTGACTTTTAAAAAGACTTAATTCAATAAATGGTTTTCCAGCTAAATAAATAAATAAGATCAAAATGAAATGAATGAAAATATCATACGTATATCAGTTGCTGCTGCTTTTGAAATAATTGGATAAAGAATTGTTGGAAATAATGTTATTGGAAGTTGATTATCAATTTGTAAATTATTAATTCTTAAATGAATAGCTTGATTACTTGTTGAAAAACCCAATCCAGTCCAAAATCCATCAAGTGTATCTCGTTTTACATGAACACTATTACCTTCTTCATCACTTATCTCAGCTACATCTCCATCAAATTGAACATACTAACAAATATCAAATATTTTATTCCTATTTAAAAGAGTAGATTCTTACGCGATTTTTATCAATTTGATATTTTTGATCTGTTTGTTGTTCATTGGAATTTTCTTGATACTTTTTATAATATTCTTCTATTGAGTGATTAAGTTTATGTTCAACTGGTTGAACATTAAAATTTCTTGTTTCAGTCCACATATCTTTGGTTGGATTTAAACTGATATAAAGTAAATCTTCATGATTTATATCATTTATTATTGATATACCAAGACAACGTAAACCTATTTGAATATATGAATCCATCGATTCACTTATTGATGATGTCTAAAACAGATTTACTATTTTTTTTTAAAGAATATTAAAAAAAATGAAATCTTACATTAGATACTGCTTCAATAATTTGTGTTTCAGAAGAAAATATTAATACTGTTTGAGGACCATCATGAAATATTGCATAATATATTGGATTTTCACTTTCTTTATTAATAACACCACAAACAGGCTATAACAATTAACAATATATAACAAGAATCTATATACTTTTTCTATACAATTATCGTCTAACGTAAGTAACTTTAAAAATCTTTAATGGAACTAACTTATTACAATTATATTAATCAACGAAGGAATAGAATTTGCATCTCCATCTAGATACTCATTGGCACAACTTCATTTGATTAATTTTGTCTCATTGTTTACATATTTATCTTTAATTGAATCTATCTTTAGATAAATATAAGCCATAACTTCGACAGTCTTGATCCAGCAATCAATAATGTTCCGTTCTCCACTAACACAACCTTATCATAGAAAATCCTGTTCGATGTCTGCTCAAAGAAATAATTATCTAACAGAATTAGGGATAATTGTCAATTTATTTTATTTGAGATCATCTTACAGAACAAATCCTTTGAAAGGAAGGCATTTCATCAATTTTAAACGTCGTTTTTTATTTAATTGTAGAAGAGATATTTGATCAAGATCAGGACAAAAAAATCAGACGTAAAATCTTGCAAAATTAGACAGAAGGCGTACGTAAAATTGTGGTTCATGTAGTCTGATACGAAGTTCTACTAGAAGATTCTTGAAAGATCTTACAGTTTCATCAAATTTCCTATAATCTTTCAATGATCTTTTGTGGAAGAAGAAGATCTTTTAAAAAATCTTCTAGTAGAACTTAGTATAAGACTGCATGAACTAGGATTTTGCAAGATGAGAAAAGATCAAATATATATAGTCTTGTAAGACCCTACTATCTGATTGTTTGATCTAGTAAAGGCTGCCATTTATGTCGAGTGTGTGTGTGTTTGATATTTCTTATCTTCTTTTTCGTATCTTAAAAAATAAATTTCGGAAATCTATCAGAAATTCATTATTAGAAATAGTCATTTTCGTTCTTTATATGATCATTTGTTTTTAAATAATTCAAACAAAAAAAAAACGACTAATATAGTTTTTCAGCACTCTTCACGATTCAATGGAAATGGAATACTATCTAAGTCGAACCTGTGCGTTCGTAAACGGTTGAAAACAAGGATAAACAGAAGTCGTGCACACTCTTCGTGTATGATAATCATATACAGGGGAAGCTCGATGATAGACAAATTTTGCATATAGAGACCATTAAAAAAATTCGAACTATTCAAAAACGACAATCCGATTGACCATGTACGGTCGTATATATCTATCATATGCGTTACTTCGGAAATTTACACCGAAAATTGTTGAATCCCATCGAAACTAACCGAGAGCAGGGAACAATATCTTTGTTGTATAGACAGATACCGTTTCCAACAGCCCTAATCCCTTTTTATTTAATCTAATTTTAGTTTATTTTATTCTATTGAACAATATCCAATGTGTTTTAGTTGAATTTGGGAAATCAATTGAATACATAGTAGATATTTTATTTATAGTTTCTATTTTGAATAAAACTGTGTATTTGATTAGATATTGCAAACAATGATTATACTGATCGAGACAGACAAAAACAATAATGCATGCGGTCGTCAATTAACGATTGATAGGCGCAGTAGTTTACTATACCGCAAACAGCCTTAGAGTCAAGCATCCGATCGTTTACGTGCGATAAAATACGATTGCTATACTGCACCTAGCAAACGTTCGGAAAGCTCTCTAAAGCAGCCGTTTACGACATACTGATTTGACCTGAGAATCTTTTATGAGCTTGTCTGGCTAAAACACTATCGTTTCCGGAATGTGTACTGGTCGATTTGATTAAAAAAAAATCGAATTTCTCATTTGATTTTTTTCCCGATAAAATTTCACTTACATTAAGTTTTATAGTTAGATTATCTATATTAGTTGAAAGAATTAATTCTTGTGGTTTTAATGGATCATTCCATGTATAATAAACATAATATTGTGGAGGTAATACTTGTGTATGTCTATTTTAAATAAATTTGTTTAATCAAACAAAATAATAAAAAAAAACATACACATCTTCTTTTTGACAAAATGATATTGGTTGATTTAATAAAGAATTAACAATTAATAGTGGAGCATCACCAGGTTTATAATCAGAAAAATTAATTTTAAATCCATCATAATCTGTTGCTGTTACTTCAACATGAAGTGCAGGACGTTCAATATCATCCATACGTAATAATGTTCGATGTATATCTTTTATTGAAAAACAACTTGCGGACAACATTCTTCCTAAATAACGAACACACATAACACCTTCTTTTATATAACGTGGCCAATGTGGAATCATCTTTATACAAAATAATTTCAGATTGCTTTTTTTTAAAATAAAATTTAAATGTTTACTTGATTAGCTTTAACTACTTTCCAATTGTCTTCATAACTTCCGGATACATTTTCAGTAACTTCAATATCAAACTAAATTTTCATTTTATCAAATTAAAGAAATTTAATATGAAAATAATTCTTACTAATGAATTATTAATAACCGCTGTTGATGGTGCAAGTGTTATGATTTTAGTCATACCAAATGAACAAGTTACAATATCAATACAAATCTTTTAAACAAATTATTCATAAAACTAAGTAAAACTACTACGTAGTTCGATGAAGAAAAGATAAATAGATTATCGAAATACATTAACAAGTATAAGTTGTGATTAACACAAACAGCGAACGTGTGACTATCCGTAGCAAGGGGAGAAAAGCGAGACTTCACTATTCTGAAGTATCAATGGAATCGCTCGTACTGCAAAGTTCTGAAGTCTCACTTTTTGTGTACTCAAAAAGTGGGTACACTCTAGAATCGGTCAGTGTATCCGCCCGTCCGTCCGGCCGGCCGTTAACACGATAACTTTTGAAAGGAGAGTCCAATCGCGATGAAATTTTCTACACAGTTCAGTCTTAACAATGTCTCGGTCGAG